TCTTCATAAGTAAAACTTAATCTAACTTTCTGTAGGAATATAACATACCAATATATACACCATATTTCTAGTTTTTTTTATGTGTTTCTTGTTCAATTCATTTAAAGAATTAATCAACTTCATGCAACAATAGAACAGGACAAAAAAGAAAGAATATATTATGTAATTATACTGCATTTATTACTTTATATTAATAGAAATTACCTCCATTAGTTGACTGACATGTGATTCTAAAACGACTTACATTAAAGATTAAATAGCGAAACTAATTGCACGTGTTTATGAGGACCAATTTTATATCAGCAGTATATAGTAGAAAGTTAATTACTACAATGATAAAATACAATGAAGCAGAAAATTTCATTGTGCAGAAAGTACTAGCTTTTACACAATGAACTTAGGATCGATTAAATATGCGATTTAAAGGAAAAGACGTAGGCAAATTTATGAGAACGGATATATTTTTTTCTGTTTCTCGTAATATCGTGCGTGAACGCATACGGATTAGAAAAACACAGCTTTCTCATCAATATTGAAAATATAATATTATCAATTTTTTACAGTTAATCATCTGATATGTAGTCATTTCTACTGGTATAGTACATATATAGATATATAATTATAGTATGCAACAAGTTGTTTCCTGTCCTTGCAAACGATACGTGTATTTACCACAATGCAATGTATAAGTGAATCAATAACCAGAAATTTCAGGAGATTTTGTTTATTATTGTTTTTAACACTCAGTAAGCTAAAGAAATCATAGGTTAATTGTTTCAATCAACTTTTTAAAATAATACATTTTTTTTTTAATCGCTCGTTATAGAGAATATTCATTGGAAACTCAGGTTCCCAACTTCAACACTCAAAAAATTATTATATTTTAGAGATATATAGATTTATATTATTATTTTTATTTTAGTTACCAAGTTCATTCTGTGTGATCAAACTTAACATTCTGTAGCGGCCTCGAGTCACTCGAGTACGAGTTTCAAACACCGACTTGTACAAGCCGCAAGTGGCTGTGCGCTTAGCGTCGAAGTCTAACGATATTCGACGTTAATAGAGTACGGAACACCGCTAGAGGATGGGTGACCGGTCCAGCCTTAGCGAGTAGTTAGAACAACAAGCGTGTTTGGGGTAAGGAGTCTCGCTGCCATCAACCCCCCTGGATGAGTCTAGGCAACGATCTCTGAGACGAAACGCATTTCCTCACATTACCACTCCCTACATTATCCTCGCATTATCATCGACACTTTTCAATCCCTTCAATTCCTTTACTTTCATTAAAAATCAGTTCATTAATTTGTTTAAAATATTCTTGTTTAAAATATTCTTGTTTAAAATTAGTCTCACTCATAGTTATCAATTGAACTTGTGTTATTCTAATATCGATAATACACGTATAAAATATTTCCTTTGAATTTTACGACTTTATAAACCGAACACTGTGTTAACATAAAATATAGAGGCAAATAATATAATAATCCATTTTGGAGTTTTTGGAGTTATATTGGAAGCTTCGATCGAGAATTGTTATATTGGACAATTATTTATATAAATACAACTATACTTGAAATCGTAAGCGAAATTTGCATGATTATATCGAAAGTATCTGAATGTGTAAATCTATTGATCTCTTGATATGAAATATGAAATTACTTATTTATTTAATTGATGAATTAATGATAGTCTTTTCTCCTTGTATACGACTATTAATAATACAGATATTATATAAATGCAAAAAGCAATATGACGTAGCTGTATGAATCCTTGGTTATGAAGTACCGATAAATATACAGTGAAGTATAATTAAATGAGATTCGTAGATCATGAACATATTTAAATGTATACATGTAGCTAATTCTTTCACAAACTAAATTTTCACGAGTAGAAAACGATATAAAGAGAAATTTCTTCTGTAAATTTATATGTTTATTTGTCCTTTCACTTGGAATCACTCTCTAATTGATTGCACCTTCAATTACACGAAATTTTATAAAAATATAAGATCAAAGTTGCAGTGTAAATATAGTATCAAACAGAATTCAACGATTAAATATTAAAATAACTTCAGTATAAAGAATTAATATCAAAGTGATAGAATACTGTAATTACAATTCTCCGATTTCAATACTTTCATTCGAAACAAAGCATTATTTATTTTTAAAGCAGAAAATTTTATTCGTATAAGAAATTTTATTCACGTACTCATCGTTATACTTTATTAGAATAATAAATATGGAAAATTAAATTTGTTGTTTCATCTGATCGAAACTTACATGTAATTTAATTTTATACATCACGTAATAATTATTAATGCACAATGGATGTTACTATGATGGAAATTTGAAATTACTAACATTTGTAATAATCGTACATTCTGCATAAATAAATATCGAAAATTATTAGCAATGTATAATTTATATATTAGCATATTGTTACATATAATTATTATATATTGAAATATTATTAGTAATGTTTTCTAACAGAAGAAATAAGTAACTGATGTATTGAATACAAAGTGATGCCCAAGTATTTGAGATTGAGACTTCCAATGACACAAGGTACTCAATAATTACTGCAACATAATTTTGACATCATTAGAAATATTTCGCGAAAACATTTAATTTCATAATTTTCGAGCGCCAAGTTACCATGAATTATACAAATGCAAATGCTAATTTGACTACAGGTCCTCTCATTTCTAATATTTATTAAGAAATGTTGCGTGAAATGCTATATATGTAAGGTGTATATACAGTGAGCAACGAAAGTATTCGAACGGCATGATAGAAAATAATTGATTATACAAAAATTGTATAATAAATTGCAATTTATTGAAACAAATTGTTTTTATACTATTGTGTATACATTTGCTAAATATATGCAAAGTTAGAGAAAAATTAAACCATAAGTAAACAAATTACATAACATTTTTCACGATTAAGTACATATAAGGCGTAACAAAAGTATTCGAACGCTGAATTATAAACACTACATTGTAAACACAAGACAGACTGTCGCGAGGTCTAAATGTAAAAAAAAAAAAGATCTTTAGAATGCATTTCCAACAGTATTTGAGAGCAAACGGAACCGAAAGTTAAACGTTAACCTGTAATTCAAAATAACGAGTGGTAAAACATTAGAGACAAGTAAACCCGAATGAGAAATTATTGTTAAATTGCACAAAGAAGGTAAATCATATAAAAAAATTGTTTCTCTTGTAAGCAGAAACAAATCAACAATTCATTATATAATAAAAAAGTATAATACGAACGGAAGTATTGCAAATGAACAAAGATCTGGGCGTCCAAAAAAATTAACACCACGGGAAGAAAAATTGCTTCTGCGTGAAATAAAGAAAGATCCGTTTACATCTGCTCTAAAATTGGCAACAATGGTTGTTACAAACTTTAATAAAGAAGTGCACGCTCAATTATGTCGAAGAATGTTATAGAAAAACAATTTCCATGGTAGAGTCCCACGAGAGAAACCATACGTTAGCAAGAAGAATAAATTACTTCGTTTAAAATTTGCCAAAGAATATATAAATAAGGACATAAATTTTTGGAACACTGTCATTTTCTCGGATGGTAAGAGAATAGTAAAGAGGAAGCCAAATAAGGAGTTGGATTCAAAAAATTTGAAGTCTACAGTAAAACATGGTGGAGGCTCCGTAATGGTATGGGTCTGCATGTCTGCTAATGGGCCTGGGAAATCTCGTATTCATCGATGGAATCATGGACAAAACTAAATATTTAAATATTTTAAAAGAAAATTTAATCAATAGTGCCGAAAAATTAAATGTGTCAAGAAATTTTTGCTTCCTTAGGATCGAGACCCTAAACATACGGCCAAAATAAAGTACAAAAATGGATCTTAGATAATGTACCCCATTCATTACCCAGTCCACCACAAAGCCCTGACTTAAATCCCATCGAACATTTATGGGACGAACTCGATAGGAGACTTAAAAGAAATAATATAACGAGTAAAGTCTCTTTAAAACAAAATATCCTAACTGCGTGGCACTCTATGGATTCAAGTGTTACTAGAAAGTTAGTCAATATTATAGAAAATCGTCTTCGAATGGTTATTAAAGCCAAGGGTGGCTCAACTAGATATTAAAATGCAATATAATCACATATATTGCATTCTGTCATGACTATTAAAATTGCGTTCGAATACTTTTGTTATGCCTTATATGTATCCGTGAAAAATGTTCTGTAATTTGTTTATTTATGGTTTAATTTTTTCTCTAACTTTGCATATATTTAGGAAATGTATATACAATAGTATAAAAACAATTTGTTTCAATAAATTGCAATTTATTATACAATTTTTGTGCAATCAATTATTTTCTATCATGTCGTTCGAATACTTTCGTTGCTCACTGTATACCAAGCACTATATAATGTAGTCTATAGATAGATGTTACAATGAATGTAACGACATATGCATTTGCTCACATCCATGCAAAGAATGATGTAATTAAACATATGCTTTGTGTAAACAAGTGATACAATGTCATGATAGCTTTATATTCTTAATTGCGAAATTGCTCGCTGCTACCTGCATTAGAAATGGAAATCGCTGTCACAACAACTGAAAACACGCGAACAAAAATCAGTTTGAATACAAGCGAATATACATATACTGTATATTAAAAAAATTTTTATATTTTTTACAAAGACCAGTACATTACTTGATGTGCAAATTAATAATTATAATACGTTGTTTAACTACCTGAAACAGGAGATTTCCAATTTCGAATCGCGATTATATTAAGATTATAAAGTAAAAATTATGAAATGTTGAATGCAGAGTCTTCTATATCACTTCACTGATTTATTGCAAAATTTTAATATCATATTTATTTGTTGTATTATTTTATAATTTTATTGCAAAATTTGAATATCATATTTATTTGTTGTATTATTTTATAATTTTAATATCATATTTATTTGTTGTTGTATTATTATATGTTTTTGTATGCAATTCAATTGATGCGTGTGAATTGCGTAATATATTGCAGTCTGCCTTGTATATTTTGGATTTTATTCATGTAAATTTGCAATTTTATACACACTAATATTTCAAGCTTTTGTTTTCATCATTTGTTGTTTCTAGTTCACTTTTAATCCATTAAATCTACTATGTTGCAAATGAAACATTTGTTAATAATAATAACCATTATTATAAATATCAGAAAATTTTCCTTTATTCTATAGATTTTCGTCCAAAGATAGAGAAATATTAACTATTAAAAATGAATATTTGTTTGTTTTAAAGATACATTTTAACTCAATATACACCATGACATCAAACATTTTTGAAATATGTATCTTCGATGATATGATGAAATTATTACATAACAAATGTGAATTTATATTGAAGTTCCCGGTTTTAGTTGCAAGTTTGTAGCACTTCTATAGAACAAAGGAAAATTTTCTGATATTTATAATAATGGTTATTATTATTAACAAATGTTTCATTTGCAACATAGTAGATTTAATGGATTAAAAGTGAACTAGAAACAACAAATGATGAAAACAAAAACTGAAATACCGACTTACAAGTTGTGAGTTGGAACGAACACAGTTCTTATTGGAATGTTAAAACGAGATTTGACAAGCAGTCTGCGTATTTGTTCGTAATGACATAAAATTCAAACGAATAACACAATATCGCTGCAATTTTAAATCAATTAGTTCCGTTTCAATAATTTTATATGTACATATATATATATATATATATATATATATATATATATATATATATATATATATATATTTCCAATAGTAGAATCAATATATGTATTGTATCATTAGAAATATCCGCTGTCGCTAGAAATTCGCAACCACGCTTTGACATTATTTAAATAATGTATTTTAAAAGAGCTGAATAATATATAATCTTATTTCTTTAACGGTCTGACATAATTATGCGTTAGTTTATTTAAACATGAATATGATTTGAAATAAATTTTTAAATGAATATGATTTGAAATAAATTTTTAAGTGAATATGATTTGAAATAACTTTCCATTTTATTTTTTGTATTATACTTATATAAATGTTTATTCAATATTTCATTTATTTATTCATATAATTTCACAAGTACCTCGTATAATAATATTGTTAATAAGTAGTTTCGTCGTAACTTATTACATTAGATTATTCGTAATTTTATTCAAGATCGTGTTAATTCAAACAAGAAGTTTGAAATTGATTCATTTGAATTTGACTCCATGTAAATAAAGTTATTTATTTCCAAAAAATTATCATTATCTCTAAAATCATTGATTAATCGGAATATTCATTATAAATTGTTAGTTTATTTTATGTTATTATTAATTTATTTGAAGTTAAATTGTTAGTTTATTTTATGTGAAATAAAATGTGTTCATGCCTGTTCTTAATAAATGTAAATATATGTATCTTATTTGATAGACGAACAAGAAGTATTTTGTGTGAAAATACCACTACGCACTTTACGATGTGAACACACACGAATTGGAATGTCACTTTTCTAATACTTCAAATATGAATAAGATATTCTTCTACTTTTACGAACGTTCACATTGGATTGAGTCATTCACTTTTGCTGATATTCACTGAAGAGTATAAGAATTGTGTAACTGACTCGTTAATTAACAACATTAAGCGACACTATTATGTAAATCACCTGAAGTGGGATTACATGCAAGAAAATGATTGGGACTGTTTGAATTTGGGAATCGGAACTTGGTTTGAGCAGTCTAGCTCTTTTCACATATGTCTTTCTCGTCCGAAGTCTGAAACGCGACTGCGTTTCGATCGATCAGTTGTCCAGTTGTACGACCTCTGTCTTTAAATGTATGAGAAAATATAGAGAGTGGTGGAAAAATATAGATTGGTTGTTTACTCTTTTCATGTATTGCCAAGGTGAACAAATTTATCATCAGTAAAGACAGTAATACTAGGAAATATTACATTTATTTCTTTTATTTTTTTTGCTTTTTATTTTTTATTTTTATTAATAAATGATATTATATTTATTTTACTTCACTAAATAATATTGCATTTATATTTTTATATTTTATTGCCAATGAATATTTCTGAGCGAAAAGTAAACTAATAGTTTAGTACGATTTGAGAAAAAAGTGACAAAAATTTAAGTAATAACTGTTTTGTTTTACACAAGTTTTAAATAACAATTGAAAAAGAATCGTATTAAGACATAAGGAATCATACTTCAAAATATAAATAATCGTAAATGAACACAAAAATGTTGAAATAAAAAATGTAAATAATTATTTTATGTTGTATAGCATCGATCAAACGCTTGTCATTTTTAAGGATAAATTACGCAAAATAATAAATTACATTATTCTCAGAATTTATCGCGAATGTAATCAACAACGATATAATTTGTTACACGATTAATATCGTGTCGATTGTTTAGTCATTTTTTCTAAAAATCCAAGCGAGCGTGGGCACTTTATTTTTTTAATTCTTTTTGCTATATTGCAAATATTGTGTGATTTGCATTAGTTGTGCTTTCTTTTTGCGATGTGTACAACTAGTGAATTCAGAACATCATTGGAGTTAATATGAAGAATTCTATGAAACAAAAAATTTAACTTTCGGTAGTCTCGAGTAGAAAATATTAATATTAATTGCAATTCTTCTAATACTAACTGCAATATTATTCATATTGAATTCATATGAACTCATATAACTGCAATATTAATTCATTTGAAGCTTTTATAAAATATTAGGTGATTATTGTGCAAACTAATCAAGCGAAATTGTTTTGGAACCTTCTTCTATTCTAATTTCTTTTGTAGAAGAACGGGATAGATCATAATTTATAAAATGATGTTATTTGCTTATTTTTGTTTGAAAAAAAAGTGGAAATATAAAATTTTATTGGGAAAATATTTTTATGTGTCAAGAAATATCGATCTCTCTTCGAAAAATGCAGAAGCATAGTAAGAAAGAAAACACGTAAATCGATATTATTGCCTGACGCAATAAATGCATTATTAGGGGAGATTTTGCACAACTTACCAACGGTGGACCACTACTCGTTATTTTCTTTCCACAGAATGAAATTCTATAAAAAAAATCTTGTTCCAATCCTTGTTTGGACTTAAAGTTGTATTTAAAGCTGTATTTAAAGCTGTACCTCTACTGAACGTGCTATAGTGAACTCTCCTGAAAAAGTCACTGAAAAAAATCTCTTGAAAAAGTCACTGATAAAGATGTATATAAACTAGGAAACGGAAAACAGAATGTGATAACAGAAAACAAATGTTCCTCCAATATGCCGTCAGGCTTAGGATTGCTAAAATAAATATTTCAACATTTTTACTTGCTGTCGGGTTATAGCCGATATAGTTATATTACTTGGACATACATTACAATATTTCCAATGGCAAAGACCAAGGTGACATACATTACAATATTTCCAAAGACAAAAGACCATGAATCAACTCTACTTTCTTTTTTCAGTTTTTCATTTTGACGAATGATAGATGTGTTAACTGCTGACTTCATAATTCTTCTCTTTTTTCTTATCGAATTTCACTCATTTATTGAAACACGACCAGATTTTCACTCTGCTTCTTTCTCTCTTCTTTTGTCCATGTCCGGTCTCCTCTTCTTTTCGTGAAACCGATAGTATCGATGGTGCCGCAAATCGCACACAAAACAGCGGCTTAATGGTTTCTCCCGAGATAGAAAACTATCTTAAATCTAAGCGGCAAGTAATCTACGTCAAAGAAAACATAAAAATCTTTATAATAAATATAATTAATACTTGGATAAACTAATGTATATTGAACTATACATTGTACATTGAAATGTATATTCAATACCTTTGTAATGTACATTAAAATTCTTGATGGACGATTGGGTGAGTCTGCGCTTTTCCTTAACAACGAAGCTGTACCCGAGAACAATTTCGATTGTGCATCTAATAGTGTATCATTACGAAGAAAAGAATCTTCTGTCTTCATTCCTAATTTCTTTAAAATTTGCTTCGGATTATTATTATTATTAAATTGTCGGATGATTATTAAATTGTTTATTAAAGATAAGTATGAAACTGTATTAACAAAACGGGAGAAGGCTGTCGGTTATAAATCAGTTTATTTAAATATAGTCCGTAGCACACAAGCTTCCGCGATTCGAATGTGTAGGAACGCTAAGCATGAAGTTTCTCTTTCAGGCACTCTGCAATGTCGACAACGATTACGAGCTGAACGCCATCTTGTATCACTAGAGGAATACACAATCTGAATGCTATCCATTAATATTGTCCAGGTAAAAAACAATCTGAACATTTAGGAATCCACAAAAAAGGGGAAGCCAAGGGAAATCCATATCCACAATATTGACACTTCACTAGTTGGAGGGAAATGCAAATTCAGTTTAACACTAGTGTGGTTCACCTCTTGTGAAGTAAAAATATTGTCACGAAAAAGAGTGTCTCAAGCGTCCTTAACTAGAACACATTAGTAGCAACTATCCTAGTATCGCAAGAAGTAATTTATATAGGAAATATGTCTTTAATAAACATACTATTGGATTTGAAGATGAAATGTCTTATTTATGTAAAGAGAGGCAACAATTCTACGAGTCACGTCACTACTATATTATCGAAATTCACAAATTTCAGCTGGTACACATAATAATTTTTCCTTTCTCCTAATTAAATCCTGGATCCCTGCTTATGACATGTCTATCATTTGTATGTCACAAAAATAAACAAAGATACTTTTAATTGTTTACATTTTATAATTAAAAGAAATAGAAGAACAGACAAAGAATTATTTTATCTAAATATTGTATAGCTAACAATAGAAATAGATATGTAATGTAATTTGTAGTCTACTTATTTTTAGTATAATTGAAACTCTCTAGATACTTCAAGTTAAGTACCTCAAACTAATCAAATCAATGTCATACTTTGAAGGTGTTATAATTCCTTACAACTTTAAACACCATCACTTTGTCCCTATAATTTCATCCAAAGCTAAACACTTTAGCTAATAATCAAGTTTTCATATTCGCACATCTTATGTTAATTATTTTAATTATATTAATCCACGAAACTCACAAAAATTTATTAATCTTGCACTATAAATATAGCAAAATATATAATACATCACGAAAGTATTCGAACATTTATGAAATTTGAAAACATAAATACATTATGTATAATAATTAGCAAAATTTGTATACCTATAGCAAAGTAGGAATAATACAGATAAGAGTTACAAAACATTTTGTACAAGTAAATTTTAAGCAGAGATAGTAAAAATAATTAAACGCTTGATTGAAAGGTTTCAAGTTTCAATATCTTGAAAACCACGCAAAAACAACTTACAAAGAAAAGTTTTACAGTTTTGAAGAGGAAATACAATTATTTATTTGCTAGACGTGGTTTAGAATATTTGAAGAGTAGATTTTTCTTCTCAAATTTTTATTTTGGAAAAAAGGGGAAAGATTGTTTATTCTTTTCAAAAGAAAATTTAATAAATAAATTAATAAATTTAAATTTAAATAAAATTTATTTCACTTTTGCTACTGCAAACAAAATAGTAAATGGGAACATCGACGGAGAAAGTGAAAACTATATTTTATCGCATTACTGGAATGCAAACTATTTTAGTACTGTGACGAGGTATTTGAAAGCTTAGAAATAATAGATAATAACGCTAAGCATTGTTGCGAACAGAGTATCAAATTGTGAATACTTTGCTTGATGATGATATTGTATTTCTCATGATTTTGAGAAATGCTAAGCCCGATTCTATCGCTGTTGCAGATCTATTACGAACCAGAATTTGTAAGACATTATAAATATAAGCTTTTTTGACTTTAACACGAGTATATGTATGGATGTTTTTGTTGTAGATCAGACAGTGGTATTAACAATGCGCAAGGCAAAGGAATGTCAGATTTAACTGCAGTTAAAATAATTTAACTATATGTAAGAACTTTTTGTTATACAAATACATAAGTAATTATGCTAATAAAATGTACAAAAAGTTCATTTTTCATACAACATAAATATTTTCATTAGATATTCATGTTGTAATAAAGATAATATTTATAATTGGATCGCAGATATTTATGCAATTTCCAATTTACTAGTTTATTTATTTTAAGCTTAGAAATTTGTTTTCGTTATTATATATTGTACCAAGCATTCTATTTTCGATATTTTACATATTTTTCCACATGCTATTCGTTTGAATTAAACTGTAAATTTCTCATGAAGGCATAAAAATCTGCATTCTATTTATAATATAATAAATATAATTCATTTTATAAATCAATTTTTAATCGTTAATACAAATCAAAGAAAATATAGAATATTTTGTGTACTGTACACAACATTTTGTAAAATGGTTTACTACCATTTATTATGAGAATTAATAAACGTAAAGAGAGTAAATAATCGAGAGTTCGTTAGTTAATCAATAAAATAAAATTAACGGAAAAAATTACAAAAATATAATTTTATATACCGACTGAATTGTGTTAAATTAACTGAATCAATATCTCGCAAGTGTTATGCAGTTATAAAAATCGAAGAATTTTTTCCAAAATCATTCTCCATGAAAATGATAAACAATAAAACACTACTGTTATTATTAAAAATAATTGTACGAACTAAGCACGATATGTTTCCTAACTTTTGTCGCTAAGATTTCCACTAATTTCCTGTTTCAATATTAATTGTGATCTTTATAAGAGTAGATTCGTGAAAATACTATGTTACCTCATGCTATTATGTATTTTTGAAATTAAATAATGAAAAATAATTTTTTGAGGAACACATTTTTTTCTTAATTTTCATCAGTAAGGTGTATATACGTATATGTGTATATTTCGTGTAGCTGTAAAATATTTGGTGGATCTATCTGGAACTATTTCGAAACAATATATGAATCTGTGGTAACAGTCGCTGTAGACATTAAGATATATTTTATATACAACTTATAATTTAATTTATTATTACATCAAGAAACAGACTCTCTTTCCAGGCAAATTAATCAGGAATTTAAAATATAATAGATATCAGAGCGTTTGCTTAAATTTCGAAACAGTTCAATGAGTACAGTTTGTCGAATAATCTAATTTTAAGTATTACATTTAATCAATAAATCAGGAAGATATTTAATTAATACACTAGTTACTATTACTTTAGTAATACAATTAATTAATTTAATTTTAATCGAGAATCGAATTTAACAGGTTCTTTTCGTTTTTCAAAGAATTCTGTTTTAATTTATATTTTTCTACAAAATAATTTATAAAAATTAAAAAATTCTGAAATTTCTAATTTATAGAAAATTATCTGTTTTTGCGAATTTTTTATAGGAAGAGTTACTGTCACACTAAATTACTTAGGTTATACGCTGAACAGGAATACAATACTCTTGAACAATGTTCTCGTGAAATAGATATTTTAGAATCTGTATAATAAAAGGTCCATGTGTTATTTCGGAACATTTAATTGAAAATCCATTTTTATATTCGTTCATATTATTCATCCAATAATATTCAGTGTCAGTGTTTGCTATATACATTAAACACTATTTTAATATTGTTGAATAAATTATTTGTCCCTTAGATAGAAAAATTTTTATTTTTATATTTCGTAAGTCCTATTCTGTCTGAAACTTTTATTTTTAAAAGCAGCTATTTATCTATTCTTATCGGTATCTGTAACGTGTGTAATCTCCCCAAAAGTGCTGTAAGTCATGTTTCACATAGAACCTATTTAAAAGTTCCTTTTTCGATCTTTAGTTTCAATAAGGATTATTATATTCATTGTATTTAATATATAGAGGAAAAAAATAAGAGATGAACCAAAGAGTTGGAAAGATACGAGACTTAATAGCGTTAAAGTGATCGACCAATAGATTCCACAATTCATAGATGAACAGGTAATACATTTACAAACAAAATGATAGCATACGTGCTATCTTTAATTTCTCGAAAAGAAACTGAAATCTTGTAAACTTAGCAAATGGTACATGTATGTGACGACGTAGAAGGAAAGATCTGTTAATAAAAAAAGATTGATCACTAATATTCATAGAATACAAGAAGTGTACGTAAATAGCGAAAGCGAAATGATACGTAGTGCATTCGTATTTCTGTTGACATTACTTACTACACATTTATGTTGCTTAAGATTTATCAATCAGTCAGGAATAAGTATTATATGATTAGATATCAATATTTTTCTTTTTCTTTGCGTCGTTACATTCATGTACATTTATTCACCTTAGTTAATGAATTTTAATTTCACAATGTAAACTGATCACGCTGGCTCGTAATTATTTTTTCTTGTAGCATGTTACGATGTTCAAGAAACAACGCCAATAAAGGTGGCCTTGTTTCTGCTGTCGAAGATCCATCTATGTTGCAAAATAAAAATTAATTTCGAAAAATTGAATTTCAAATCTAAGGATAACCTGAATGAATTCCACGTAGAGTACTGCAGTAAATTTGTCAAACCCGTACCGTTTGTGCTTGCGCCAATGGAAGAAATGACAAATTTTCGGCTGGCAAGTGAGGTGTCGATGATCTCATGGATATTCTATTGCCTTTTTGAAGTTCTCTTCTGGGCTGATTGTTTAGTGCATCTTGTAACGCGATCATTAACTGATCTAACAGAAGAGCCGCCCTCTTTGACACTAGTACCTGGAAAAGAAAGTATTTTACCATTGACTAACTGAAATAGTCCAGATATCGAATGCCTTTTTGAGGTTCCACGTTTTGGAGGTCACCTGATCTTTTTACCATTTTCGTGTCATATCTTGCCGTGTCGATTTATTAGGAATTAAATTCAAAAAATACGGACAGGAATTAAATTTAAAATTTTTTATTTACAGAATTGAACCTAGTAATACTTTATGGTTCTGAATGCGTGGATGTCTGTATTAGGTATGTTTATATTGCGAATAATGTTAAAACAGTTAGTTTTATCATCTGATTATTTACTGTGTACTCACACACAATGATGTTACAGCCATGACACATCAATGATTAATGAAACCAAATACGATTACCAATACGAAACTAATAGGAAAGTTACGTAAAAATGTATTCTATTCTATTTTTAATTTTACGAAGAAAATGTTCAAGACAAAATTGCATTATTTCAAGGATCACAGTTGTCGATGGAGAATGAATCATTTTCAAACTCTTTCTTTCTGCAACATTTCAAGCCATTTTTTTTTTTTTTTTTACTTTCTTGACATTCTTATAAAGTACCAAAAATAAAATTTAACCACCATAGTAACCATTTTATTCGAATCATATTTTGGAATTTCATGTTGAAACGATAAAAATATTTTGAAATTTCATGTTGAAACGATAAAAGGATGTATTTATTACTGTCATCTGAATGACTGGGTCAAAATGTCCTGGTATTCGTTCTACGGAAGGTTAATATAAAAGATAAAGTATAAATGATTTTGTGATTTAATGATATATTTTATCACGATACACTTCATTAAGATTTTATACATAGATAATTTTAAATATTTCTCTTTTTGATTGCTTTTCATCGTAGGCAATAACAAATAAAAGACGAGTTTAAGGAACAAATTTAAGATTTCTTGAAAAAAGTAATGTATTCTAAAAATGTGACGTAGTTTCTACATCATTTCTGCTATTGTTTTGCCCGTTAAAATATGTAATTTTTATTATAAACAGCAATTAAAGTTTGTAATCAAACAAAAGTAATTTAAATAACATACAAAATAATTCACTTCATACCTGTGATTTCTAAGAAGAAGCTCATTGTATAGTTGAATTAAATAAAATAAAAGTAGTAAACAATTTTTCATTTTCTCATATATGTTATATTTCATAGAATAAAAAAGTTGCAAATATCGTTGCTTTTTATAATTGTAATTTGCATTACAACCGTAAATTGTAATTTTAAAAACCAAGACAAATTCGGAAAAACTTTGACAGATGCCAACACATCAAATAAATATCTTCAGGAACTATATAGACGAGACTTTCAATTAATGGAAATTTTTTGAACATAATCTGATACAATTATAGGATATTGTGCATATTGCAAGACAATGCAAATAATAAATATGTAGTTTCTATAATAAAAAGTATATATAGTGTTGTTGATAGAATCATAATCGTAATTATTGAGCATAATCATTATATGATTAAAAATTTCAATTACTTTTCTTATTCTTAAATCAGCGATTACAGATATTGTATAATTGATATTCTGATTTTATATTAATTAATTGTTCATCATTAATCAAATTGCGTTTTATCCGTTATTTTATATTGTATTTAAACAGAAACTTAGTTAAACGTTTTCGTTTCTTACTCCTCGCGTCAAAATCGAAAAATCGAGGGAACCGGGAAAACAATGAATGAACTCATTTTTCATTAGAAATTTAAATGAAAATTGAGTGATAGAAAAAGAATTTAGAAAAGTTCAAAAACTTCGTAAAATCAATTAAAGATCTGAATTCACTTTAGTCTTCATAGTTGGCTCGTTTTATCAAAAACACTTTTCTAAGAAAGAACCGAATGTGTTATCATGAAAATACAAGCTTTACATTGTAAAATGAGTACAAGATTTTTTGATTAATTGTCGGCATTTTAAAATGCTTTTTAACAAACGATTATAAACCAACCAGTCTTGCGTTTATTTTATTTTAAAGTGTGAAACTTTTATCTTCACAGGACTACGTTCGTTTCTTTCTTTATCATTTTGGAAGTAGTAAACGAAGGATATTCTTTATCATTTTGGAAGTAGTAAGCGAAAATACATTTTCACCCATAAATTTTGTAAATTCAAACATCTTTATGAATATTGTAAAAATCTTTTTCCTAAATAAATCTACAAAGGTCTCGGAGCTTGAAGCCTTCGAACAAAATTTGTTATACGATTTTTTTCACGAAATTAATAAGAACAAATGTTGACTAATTTTCATTGAAATTTTCTGCAGCTCTTGTGTGTATATATGTGGAAGTAAGCATCAAACAACATAACAAGTAAACGAAAAATGAAAGAAACAGTCGATAATCGTGTTGCTGTCAATCTACTTGGCCAAAAAAAGCTAGACAACCACAATCCCCGTATGGTATATCGAGGAAAAGGTCGAAAAGCCAATCATCTGCAGAATGAACCAATAACATTTGCTAAAGTGAAAATACTACTAAATTAATAATTCTTTAAATGTTAATTAAATCCTAACGTAAATCTAAATTGAACTGTCAAATTTTTTAATACTAACTAATCAGTAAATTAATTAAATAGTACCTAATAAATAATTAAGTTAATAATATTTTTAAACGTTGATACTTTTTTAAATGTTAATGTTTTTTATAAAAAATTTCGGGCTACATCGATTAATGGACCAAAAAATATATCGTTCCACTTAATAAATTAAAAGTCACCTTTGTTTTTTGAATAATGTAGCAAACATAATTAAAGAAATTGCCTATAAGAAACAACACAAAAGTATGCTGTTTAAGAAAAAAATACTGAGAACAATACACCCTGAATGAGGAAAAATTGTTCAGAATAATGACCTTAAAAATATACTTTAGGTTAAAATACTAGGTAAATATACTAAGGTTATCACAATGAGATATCTCTAAAGTAAATAATTACGATCTTCGTTTGACGTTCAGTTTCTCGACATTTCTATGTTTGTTTGTCGCATTTCGTTAACATTTTAAATGCCATTTACTTTCTTCGAAAGGACAGAGAATCGAAGATCTTAAAGAAACGATGCTCGAACGTACGAGTTGAAGAAGATTTTTTGCATCTTCTACATTATTGAGATATAACCTGTTACAATTGCGAGTATTATTCACCCTGTGCATTTGTTGTAAACTGTTATACATATATATGCAATATCTAGATTCATACGTTAGAAAAAACAAAAAAAATATTTTGACAACACTGTTTTATTATGTCAGTTACGATATTGTTAAAAATCTTGTCCTTATCGTTGTATGCAAATTTATGCTCGCCTAATTATGAATACATGAACTATAAATATATTGTTTTATCCCTATATTTTTTCAAATTTATTGTATATATCTACATAAAGATATTTATTCCTAAACAAATGAAATTGGTTATTATTCAATTAATTTCAACGTGACTATATGCAAAACAGAGCGGGACAATATTGTCTTTAAAATTTTTTTTTCACAAATATGTCACTGAATTTCGCGTTTGTTTCAACATATATATGTATATACTTCGATAAAAAGATGTTAACATTGTATGTAATTTCTTTTCTTTTTGAATGCAACATCAATGAACAATAAAATCCATAGAATTATGGAACAATTATTCCTAAGAATTGTCTCTTGCCTCAGCAACTGATGCTTCCCACATACGATTTATAGATAATCGATAATTAAATTGAAATACTATCGATTCCATTCAACGACGACAATTTCCTTTCGTGCGTCGTGTCACGATGCAAATGAGAGTAAGACAAAGCTTGACAACGAAGATAATATTATTCTCTTCTTTTCTTTTATGTCAATTTAAAGTCGCACTAACATCAAAATCATTAGCGAGAAAAAGTAGAATGTGTAGATGGTACTTAGATTTTAAATTTGTGTTCGTCAAGTGTTCTCTTCAGATGATTTTAGAAAGTCGGGACAAAGATCGATATGGAATTTTCTCTGCAACTCAAAGTTTATGGCAGCAAGAAGTCAGAATGAATCGTATACATTTAAATAATGAAATATTGTGTATACATATAAATACATATAAATACATTATTCATCAATAAAAGAAAAAAACTTTTGGGAAAATCCAATATATTCTAAACTATAACGATTTGCGGATACTGATCTGCGAACAGATATTTCGCTTCTTGGGAAAATGTTTTATGTAGTAATGATATTAACAAATGATCATAATATATTCATTAATGATGTAAACGTTGATTGACGTAAAATAACGTGTACCAAATTTGATGAAAAAAATAAAATTTTGAAGGTCGTAAAATTTTTGAAGTCGTTGAAAAGATCAGATTTCAATTTTCAAAATAGTGTTGCATTTAGTTACGAAGAAAATTTTTTTCCACTGCAGATTATAATAGATAATAATACAATGATAATATAAATGATACAGTAAATGATAATAGGTATAAGTATAAAAAAATAAGTAGAAAAATGAAAATTTTTTTGATTCTTTTTTCTTCACACTGACGCAAAACCGAGTAAATTTGCTAAAGAATGTTTTTCTTAGTTTATTGGTCTTCTATAAACTTTCAAAGTTTAACATTTAAATTTGGATACCCTCATTTTTCCAATTTAATTTGTTCCTTGGTGCGAAATTAACATAATGGTAAGAAATTAATTTCTACGATTGAAAAAAAAATAGTTAAGTTTGAAAGTTCTTTTATTGGCAATAAATAAAAACACTTGTAGTTAATTGCGTGTTGTCATAAATCAAATCGTAATCTTATTTTCTCTAGTTTTGTCTAACATTATGACCATTTATTTTAGACTTGTTACAATTATGTTGCAAAACAATAAATGCAATATGAATTTTCGAAAATGTGATACATTGTAATGCGATAATATAATTAGAAATCGAGGAATTTAAAAATTATATTTGAATATTATTTTGTTATAAAAAATATTGAAAATATGTTATGTTATATATTAGAAATATCTGTAATATTGATATTTTAAAAGAAAACATGTGTCCAATTGATAGAAGGTACGAATGAGGATGAAGGTACAAAACTCGGAAGTGTAGAATAAAATTTGTATTTGTATTTGTATTAATTTATATTAAGTTTCGTTCTCGAGAATATTTCGAGTTTGAAAATTTATCAAGTACCGAGACAATTTTCAACAAAACATATTCGAAGTCTATTTTCTTGAAAGTGAAGCTTCAAACAGAAAAAATCTTATTTTACGTGTCGATTTATTTTTGCACGTGAAAATATTTCCTGGTAATTTTTTTCTGTACATCTAGAATTATCCTATTCAAATTCAAATCAAAGAAACTAAATTCAAACTTGATAATTTCTTAAACTAAGTTTTCTGGAACATAAAGCTTTGAAAAATAAAATGAAAAAAGTTTTATTCTATATTTCCGGTTTATTTTTTCATGAGGGAATATCCCCTGCTTTATTTCTCACGTACTACAAAACACTTTTTATAGTTCAAAATATACAGAACTATAGACGAACTTAAATGGTCGAACTGCGATAAAATATGTAATATAAATTTTGTATATTTAAAATTTTAAATATTACTTCTCAAGGATTTCTTACGATTACATTACAAATATCATTAAGATAATATGTCCTCCAAGATACCTTACAACTTCCTTCTGAAATATTTTTTATTATAATTACACAAAATTAAAAAGAAATACGTTATTCTCATATAATTTGTGTGTCGAGCAATTTTAGACAGATATTATATAGACTGTATTTAAGAGACTAGTGTCTTTCGTGACGTGCCATGATAATGTAATAAAAAATAAGCGTCGTGAATGTATAAAGTTACTCACCGGATAGTCGTTGAAATTTGCCAAATGGTCAAGATAAGAATTTGTCGGCACACTCCTCTTCCATAGCGCATTCTGCTCGTCAGTACCGGCGATCACCGGTACCATCGTCACCATTAACAAAATTACAGTGTTGCTCATCTACACTTCGGTAGTTGGTTTCTTGAACGAGTGCAATTGCAATATTCTTTTCTTGGATCGAAAATATTTCTCCCACGATATAATAACTCTGAATCTTGGTCGATTCTCTGGATCGATGCGTTCGTCTATCTCTAACGTTACGATTCAATAATGTAACACAAAAAAAAAAAGAACGAGCGTCAATTTTGCGAATTAATTTGTTTGCGAGAAGCAATACGTATTGACTCGAATTTGCAGATTGACATATAGTTAGTAAATGACAATATACTGTATCGTATACGTCGTTTATTCAAGAAAAATGAAGGATGTACTCGGGAATACAATGTGACGTCTCGAACGGCAACTGCTCTCCTTTATACGCGTGTTCTCCCACAACGCTTGTTCCATATAACGCAGGCGCTGAGAATGTCTTTATTCTCGGAAATCGTGAACGTTATCCCGCTGATTGACACATTTTCCCTCGCACGAGGTTCCATCTTGTGCCAGTCTAAAAGATCCATCGACATGGCGACCATCATTTTCCGTTTTCCTTTTTTGGCCCTTCGAAATGAATTCAGCGAGCAGAGATCGCAATTGATTCTTTCTATTTAGGCTCGACGCAGACGAATACAACGTTTTGGGAGATGAGAAACATAAATTGTTCTGAGGAAAGAACTTTATTTCTGTGCTCCTCTGCGTCAGAACGTAAGGAAATAGAAGAAATGCAGTGTATTGCTAATTTGGAACACCAAATTATTTAAAAAGGTGTTAATACTATCTAATTCGTAACATCGAAAATAATAGAGACAAAAGTCCTATTGATCAATGACAATTGTGAACGAACCGTAGTTGTAAAGTTTCAATTTAATATACAGTTAACACTTAAAGCATCGGCTATTTTGTTGAAAACTACCTAAATAACTACCGCCGCAATACTTACAAGTTTTGCAAAAATACACACTTTTACAAATAAAATAGAATAATTCTCGTAGAACGCGAGAACGCAGAATTCTATTCAGAAGTTTTACGTGATCTTGACAAAGAGAAATATCTCTTTAACTTAGTAATCTTCATAATTAAATCTTTAACTTAGTAAATTTCCTAATTATTCACATATAATTGTGCATATATCAACCAAATTTTGTTGTCTTTATTTTTACGATCTTTTTGAAAAAGTTACATTTAATTTTTACTCCTAGATCTACGTTTTTTTGTGTCATAATCTTCAAAACTATTATCTCTCTAGGTAAATATGAGACACAAGAAACACACATATGTCCATATTTCTGCATAGATACGTGAAAACACATGTAGGTGCTGTACCGTTAGTCCACGTATCACGCCTTAAGAGGAGTTCAGTGCTTGTTCGAATGCTTTAAATAACTTAAGAAATGTCAGTTTACAAAAGTTTTCCAAGTATTCAATTGTTGCGAACATATGTCAAAACTTAACTATGTCTCAAAAACTTTAAAATCAATTATTCAATCTGCTCGTTTTTACATTCATTTCGCGTCGTACCAATTTTGCGATTATTTAAAAAATTAAATATGCGACACGAAATTTTAGGCTGCAATGTCGTGTTGCTAATTTGGAATACTGAAAATGAATGTAATTTGGAAAGCTATACCGTCCTTCGACCTCCAAGGTTAACAAGAAAATTTATCAAGACTGTCTGTAACTACGACTAAATATCTCCATGTTACGCCTTTAAACATTTCTCCCGTTCTAAACACAAAAAAAGGAACGTTCAATGAAGAAGAAAACTCGGTGAAATCTACGATACGTTTCAAATATCTTTTATGACGAGCTTATAGAAACGAGCTTATAGAAATCTGTTTATTTAACTAACAATATTTGCTTGTAATATTTACTTAAATCGTAAGAAAAAATAATTTTATTACTTGTTTCTTTAATTTTGAAGAGCAAAGGTAAACCACTGTTATAAATTATCTGCAACAAAATCATTACTTTATATCATTCATTAATTTCCATCTTTAATTTCTTTGATTAAAGTTTCAAATACTTTTTCTTATCAGGAGAAACTAGGAGTTTGAAATATATAAATTTATTAGTTTTTCTATAATATTATGTAATTCCTTTCTTTTTTCTATTTACTGTTATAAGTTCTTATTCATTGTAAACAAAGTGATATTCAAAATATGTTGCTTTCTTTTCACTTACATACATGCTATTAGGTTTTGCGATCTTTATCTCCTCACTCGTACTAATTTTGGAAATTTTGTAGAAATTGATAAGCAATAGTAAATTGGAAACAAAGTGAAAAAAGTTGGCATACACTTGATACATGTACTTAGACATTTAGAACTCTACTGCTGAAAGGAATAGCAAGCAGGGATCGAAAAAGTTAAGGAACTTTTAAGTAAATTCTGTTTGAAACTACGATTCTGTAGACCGTAGAACTTTTTCAAAAAATTTTCTTACGTTCTCTAATAATCGTCCTCAGACAGAATGGAAATTACACATATGGAAATAAATTATAAAAAGAAAAATTTTTTCTGCCAGATAATTTGTTAACATTAATAAAGTTTTATTGATAAAGTTTTCAATATTAAAGAAGTTCTCAATATTTGTAGCAAATATTGACTTCAATAAATAGTACTCGAATATAAAAATGGAATTTCAATTAAATGTTTTAAAATGAGTTGCTTCCATCGAACTTTTATTTTACAGTTTCTAAAATATCTGATCCATGACAATACTGTTCAACAGCGGTTCTAACTATTCAAACTTTTTTTCTATTCTTTGCTATACTATTCAAAAATTCTCCATAAGCAGATATTTTTTTTATATGAAATGTGTAAATATCGAACAGAGTTTTTTTTTAAACGAAAAGAACCTGGTAATTTCAATCCCTGGTAGCAAATCCACGAGCCCATTAACATTTTATTAGAGACTTATTACCAGTCTCTTTACATGGAAGTCACTAAAGCTGCGTTCGCGGTCACATTAAGCAATACAGTTGCTCACATTAATATTCGAACATGGAAATGGCTTTGAATATTAGGCTTAGACAGCAAAAGTTCAAGAGATCGTAATATTTTCATCATTAAGTTTATTTTCGCTTGATATTCAAGTTTTAATGAAATGGCTAAAAATAAAATATGACAAAAAAGAAAATATCAGAAATATCATTTATAAATAAATACGGGTTTGAAGCTTTCTTTCTTTCAACAGTTCTCATTTTCTGTCGAATTCTTTCTCTCAATTTTTTTTTCTTCCTCTTCTACTCCGATCCTTCACGGTTCACGCTTGTCTGTTTCCTCTCCTTTTATTAACCTCTTTTTTATCTCTATGGTCTCGAATTCCATTGGTCGATTGTCAAAGTGAACAATCGACTTTCGAATATGAACAATCAACGATCGCGACAGTTTTTCCAAGCTGTCTAGTTTTTGCAATCAAGCCAGTGTGCATGGTTCCTCAATATGACGTGCGATTGACTTTGTCCAGCGATCAAATTCAAATAGACGCGACGCGTTGTTAAAGTTTATTTTAAAAAATACCACTTGACCTCGCGTAATACTCAACTATTTCCTTAGAAACTTATTGTTGCTGATTTAAGATTAAGTTAAAATTAGATTAATTTAAATTATAGTTATCCTATTAGAACCACATGTAATATATATTTGCTGAATAAATGTATGTTTACTGATTTCGGTATTACCTGAAGTTGAAAAAATATTTATGTGAGTATAAGAAGTTTTGTACAAATTATACCTATAATAATTGTAATAACTACAAATAATCATAACTACACTGTCAATATTTTTCAAATGTTTAAATATAGATAATGTTCACGTTTAGTAATATGGAATTAGATGCGTATTAAATTGAAGAATATCTTTTATTAAATGTGAACTGAAATATATTTCTTATCGCCTTATGTGAAGAAACTAATTTAATTTTTATATTTACTTTCAATATTTGTATAACACCTTGCTATCGCTACGTACATATGTTTTAAGTATATTATAAGTTCTTCTTTATTTTGTATGTGATTCTAATCACATTTTATATCCTTTAAACATTCTCTATCTTGAAAGAATTAGAGAAACTGTAGTAAACCATGTATTATGTTTATATTTGCTGTTACCACTGTAAAGCTTGCTTGCGATAAGAGCAATTGAAATGTCTAAGGGTTGTCTTCCACGGAAGAAAATCGTAATGATTGATAATATGAAAAATAAATTCTTTTGGAAAACCGGTTAAATAATTATATTTCTTGTGAATAGAATATTCTTATACTACGAAAAATGCTGAACTGATTCTAAGTAGTATCAAACATATGATTGTAGTATGTACTACTCTTAACTTCACTGGTTTATATTACGATATCAGACCCATTCTACGAGAATGAGTATATGATATACAGATTTTTATTCAAATACATGTTTTTAAAATGTATGCAAAAGAAAATATAATTATAGTAAAATGTTGTTTTATTTATTAAATTTAATAATAGCACGGCACTTTGTATATTTTACATAATACTTTTTCATATTATGCATTCTGTGCAATTTTGTACTTCAAAATTTCTTATAAATTGAAGTCTGCAGAATCGTTATAACATGCAATGTCATAGCGCTCTCATCATAGCTTTATCCCATTTGATTTCTGTTTAATTTCTATTGCATAATATATGACTTTAATCTGTTTATAGGATCTATGAGAATATTGCTGTTCACACTAGTTGTTTATTCACCATTACATTTTCATAGAATGAAAGAAAGAAAAGTGCAGAAATTACTAGTTTCAACGCGGAAACTATGTTAATCATTTTACTTTGGGGGGAAAAGTAAGCAAATTGTATACATTCGTGATACATCTTTTCTCGTTTCCAGTAGTGTGTCTCTAAGACTCATTGAGAAAACTCCGATATGTTAGAGTAATTTAATACCGTCAATTTTTTACTCATGCCTGTATGTTTTGTATCGTTCCTATTCATGTACTATACATACGAGTAGGTTCAGTTTCACGCAATAAATTGTTTATCCATTCTCGCAAAAGACAGTTATAGATACATACACATGTATGTAGTTATTTATTAGTATTAATATATAAAATGCTTTGAATAACCAATGTTAGACGAAATATTTTTTTTAAATCGATCG